CACACACACACACATGTAAGAAAAAGTTATAATGAGTGAATATATATATATTATAAGCCTACCCATTTCTGAATTCTTCTGTGATGATGGCAATGATGATGATGATGATGAATGATGGTGCAGAGAACTGAAGAGAATTAGCATGATGAAGAAGAAATAAGAGATAAGTGAAACAAACAAATCAAAATACAGTTGTATTGCAGAAAAGTGCGGAGCTTATGCTGCCTGAACGGAAAAAAGAAACTAACGAATGAATGAAAGAATGAATGAACAAATGAATGGCTGGTATGAAAGAATGAATTAAATGAGTAGGCTACAAGGTTGCATGAAAGATATCATATACTATAATATACAAAACGAACAATACGGTAAGACAGGGATACAACATTTCGACATTCAGACAAAAATTAATATTTGTGTCATGACGCGGTGGAATCAGGCGCTCGTCAATTTTTGGGCGTTTGGAGTTATTGGTAGCTTGTTTATTTGTGTTGCTTTCGAAGAAAAAATGCCCAATCTATCTTTAACAAAAGTCAAAATATTGGTTTCAGGGGTAAAACTAGTGAGAAAATGGCCGCCAAAGTTTGACAATTTCAATAACTTAAGTCCTTGAAAAAGACAAAATTTCATATTCTCTGCCTTAAATTAACGTTTGTCCTGTGAAATTCATATGGAAATGTGTTTTTATATAGACACGAAAGGTGTTAAGCTGAAAAATGGAAAATTCGATAAAAATTGCCAAACTGGTGGAAAAGTGCCTGTTTTTTTAAATTTCATAATTTTGACCAGCGCTTGATTTCACCGCGATGCCTAACATTAATTACATGTATTTCGTTCTGACCTGCAGTACATGTCACGGTCGTGGCCCACATTCCTCATGACACTTGTGAAGGTCTGCAGACAGGCGTCCACGGCGGGACAGATCTGGCCCTGGCTCAGTGACGTCACCACAGCCAGCACTGTAGAGCACAATAAGATAGAGGCGTTTTTTTTGGTTTTTTTTTTTGGGGGGGGGGTACAAATTGATGTTAAATGTTTGTTGTTTAATGCTCGATAAATTAAACTGAGGCTCCAAACGGCTTGACTGAGGTTTTCTTATCTTTTTTTTTTTAACTTACGGTGTTTATGGTGTCGGTGGCCTAGTGGCTAGGCTACCTGACTCGTAATCGTGAGATTGCGGGTTCGGGGGTTCGAGCCTCGGGCCCCACATTGTGTCCTTGGGAAAGGCACTTTACACGAATTTTTCCCACTTCACCCAGGTGAAAATGGGTACCCAGCTATAGACAGTGAAAGATCTTGTCAGTTTCGTAGTGTTTGAGCGCTTAACCAGCTGCTTGCACTGTATGCTTCCCGGGAAGCTGAGATTACTGAGAACATTTCTGAGTGTTCTATGGTCTGCTTGGGTAATAATATAGTGTAAAGCGCATAGAGCTTGCTTTAGAGTGGGGATATGCGCTATACAAATGCTATTTATTAATTTATTATCATTATTTTATATAAGCGCCCATCGACACAACGATCATTTGGGAGGTGGGCTTCGACTGAGGATACTGGAACGGACGAATTTATTTCGGATGCCTTGGCTTCGACCCTGCATGCCTGGACCATCCCAGTCTGGAGAAGGCTACAGCATCCTAACAGAAAGATCGAGATACTCGATATCCCCCCCCCCTCCCGCCCCCTCTTCGGAAATCAAACTCGGGACTTCTGTGTCCGACAGTGAAGTCCCTAACCGTTAAACCACAGACGCCGGTTTGGTTGCGCAGTGACATGGGCCACAACTGGTTTATCTGGTAAAGAATACTATGCCAAGACACGAAGAATCAATCACAAGAAGCAAAACATGCAGGCCTTACGGGCGCGTCATCAAACTCGGCTAAATCAAGAGAGAAACATAATAATTATTTCGTTAGTGCGTCTCAGAGTCAGATATCTATCTATCTATCTATCTATCTATCTATCTATCTATCTATCTATCTATCTATCTATCTATCTATATATATATCTATCTATCTATCTAATATATAGATAGATATCTAGTCCAGAGACAAAGGAATACGGCGAACAGAAAACAGCAGCATGACAAAAGAAAATCAAACAGAATCCCATAGGCACTTTCGGAGAGACGGATAAAGGCAGACACCAACTCATAGTTCTAGTCTAATTTATTTAATTATTTTTCAATTTATCTATTCATTTACTTATTTTCCCTCCTTCTTTCTTTCCTTCTTTCTTTCTGTACTACTTTCTTTCTTTCTTTCTTTCTTTCTTTCTTTCTTTCTTTCTTTCTTTCTTTCTT